ATATGATATGGTTTGCACATATTTACCATTTTTTCATCCTGATGCGGAGATTCTTGTCTCAAACACGAACTGGGGTGGTGTTTTGCATTCACAACTGGGCTGTGCGTTTCTGAACTGAGGCCATATGCCAGCATGTATGCCTACATTGGCTACATCGTCTGGTGCTGAAATAACTTTCACTGGCTGACTTTGCTGACTATGGCTGCGGCCCAGGTTGGGGCGACGATTTCATATTTTGTCACAACTTTTGTGCTGGGGGACTACATGTCTGGGCCACAGCGGCTGGATCTTGAAAGATGGGAAGCAATGCAGTTGTTTCACCCTAGGCGGAAACGACTGGCCGCAAACTCCCAGCTCTATCAGAAGTTCGAGGTGAGGGAAACTTCGATTTCATCCTTTTTGAAGGTGAGGGAATGATGCTGAAGCACAGTTTTTCAAGGGTGCAGCTGGGATGTTCTATTCTGTCACATAAAGGGTGAAATCAGGTTGACACTGGCACCCAGCCGAATAAAAAAAAACCGCGAAAGATTACGCTTGCCTTTCATAGCAATGGATTCTTCCTAATCAAAAAGGGTGCAGATATAGACATCCCGTACTGTCTTATGGTATCTCCACACCATGCTTTTGCTTTACTGGTCTTTAGGTTCTCTTTGCGATGTGTCTCCGTTGTGTGAAGTTTCGAAAGACCAAGACGTAGCCTGTTTTGGTTTCGCAGCAATTCAGGCCAATGTCCGTTCGAAACTCAGATGGACGTCCCTAGCAGATCAAAATGATCAAACTCCAGTTTCTGTTTCCCAGATGGAAAGTCGACGCTGAGGTCGCAATGCCTTTGCTTACCTTGTAGCTGCGCGCTACACCATGGTCGAAAAACACAGCTGTCACTGCTGTCACTGCTGTCACTCTTCCCTCAAAATCAAAGAGCTGCAGAATTGATAGAATTGGGTGGAGTGATACACCTGTCTTTTTTAAATTCTCCAAGAATGGTTGGTCCAAATTTTTGTCCCCATTGACCGGAGCAAAGCGCTCAGGTCTTCCCTTTCTTTTGCGTGAACGGAGCAGCCGCCTTGGTCGGGGTTCGATGCAGGACGAACCAGGGAAATGAGCAGAAGATTGATGGCTGGTGCAAAATGCTGGGGAGAATCTTGAGGATTTCCCATTTTTTCGATTCGTTCTCATTTTCAGCTGGTGGAATATGATTGAAGTATTGGCTGAAGTATTGGTTCACACTTTTGGTTCTGTGGCTTCTGGATTCTCTGTAAATTTTTCTATATGTTTTCTGTAATTTGATGAGTATCCACATTGAAATCCTCAGGCACCATGGAAAAAGTCTCTCCCAGGACTTTCATTGCCGCGACCTCTGTGAGCTGTATTCCGGGCTCCGTCGACCCGGCACGTTCGAAACGTTTTTTTGGAGAAATCATTGGATGTGAAGGGTTGGTTTCAAGGGAAAATCGGCTGGAAACCCACAAACTTTCACCATCTGAATTGATTATATAATTAGTTGACATAGTATTGTTATGTATTGTTTATATACACCTTTTCGGTATTTTTCGGTAAAGTTGTGTGCTTAAGACCTTTCCAAAGGAATTGACAGATGGCTTTGGAGGCTTTTCGACTCCGTTTTTGGAAAAATCCACGATTGGCCAGGTAATTTACACAACTGCAGGGGGCGCGCTGGCCAACTTGCTACATAAAATGACTGATGATGAGGCAGGGTTTTTTCAAAGCGAGGCTTTTTCAGAGGCCTCACGGCGGATTTTCCATGTATGCAAGCCCAATCCTTTTTTTGTGTTCCCCCGATTTTTTTGGATTGATTTACTTTTTCAATTTTCACAGATTTTTCAATATGTGCGTGCTAAAAGCAATACATTTCGCCCTGTCATGTGGGGATGATAATATTGCCCATGGCATTTGTTTTGGGTTGATGGTTGATGGATTTACCACACACATTTCATGGTGCCCAGATGATCCGGATGCAGGAACTGGACAAAAGTCAGTTGATTTGGGCAGCTCTGAGTGATAGCAATGTGAAGATTTGCATGGCGGGCGTCACATGTGCGCTCATGGTTGGAACCTTGAGGGAGATGGGTTGAAGTGTAAGGATGAATTTGTGGCCTTGGGACATGATCTACCAGAATCTACCAGTAATTGTTGAATTCGTTGATTTGATACTTGAAAGGACCGACTCTCTGGGTCCAAGTTTGCCCAAGGTGGTAGCCATCATCCAGTTCACTCAGTCGGAGGAGAAATCCAAGGGCTGTTGCCTCAATTGTGACTGGATCCGTGGGGTTGTCGCAGGTGAAGAGTCACCAAACATCACATTCTTTCTCTGGTTGATTAAGGTTGATTAAGGTTGAAGGGGAAAACGTTCCATTTTCCAACCATTCTGGGAAGCTCATGGGGTTTCAACTGGAAAACGGATGGAAACGATGTATCTCGAGCGGATCTGCGTTGGATTTGCTGCCTGAGGATCCTGAAATCCTGTCCTGAGCTGAAACGAGTCGCTGCATGGTGGGGCCCCACTGGAAATGGCTTCAAGCCAAGCCTTAGAGCCTTGGTCCATTTCCGGAAGGTTGGCCGACTGACTTGGAGAAAAAAACACGTTGAGAATGTTGACGGCTGAAGCGAGTTGAGATTTTAGAGGAACTTAGAAGTTTGAATTTCTCTGTTTCTCTTCGTTTTTTGTGATTTGTATCCGAGTTCTAAGATTCTAAGCAGCAAATTACGCATTTTGAATCTTTTTGATATTTTTTGAGTGTTTCCAGAAAGTTTCGTGAACTTCAACCCTTGAAGGGAGCTTTTCAGGGCAATTTTAAACACAAAACACTTCCAATCTCTTGCCTTCTTGCAGTTGGTGGCTCAAGTTTTTATTGCAATGAACATGTGCCACGTTTATATGGTTCAAACATGTTCAAACATCTCCCCATTGCAACCAAGTCAATAAGTGGAGCCAAGACTTAAGGAGCTAAAGTCACGACCGAACCGTTCATTTCTTTTTTGGTCACAAAACACCTTGCTGGATACAGCTGCTTGATCGCTTGACCTTGTCAGCATGCAGAGGCCATCATGTTTTCTTAGCCAATGTCACTTGGTTTTCCTTCCAAAGTTGATCATTGGCTGCCGGAATTTGGAGTCCAGCCAAGACACATGTATGACACATGTATTTCATAAATTTTATAATTACATACATTGCTTTTTCGAATGGGCTCTTTATTCACGATTGAACATACCACATATTTCTGGGGCATTCTGGGGGCCTGGCTCCACCAAATAGATGATTGCAAGTTACATTCCAACTTGAGTGCTCTTCCAACCCTTTTTTCATAGTTGCTCATTACCAATGAGCAATCCAACTCATCCTACTGAACGCTTTTCATATATTTTTTGAGGGCATCTTGTTGTTCATCTCCCCATTTTTGGATTTTTTGGGCCATGTATCACCACAGCACCAGGTGTGTTCCTCGTGAGCAGAATGGCTCCACTCGGCTCCTGGGGTCGCGCTATGTGGGCCCACAAGGCCAGGGTATCAAAGTTTATCAACTCAACAGATTTGAGCCAAATGACATCAAGACTTCAAGTTTCTGTGCCAAATCTTTAGGGATCACCATCCAGCCATCTTTTTAAAAACTGGTCAGTTTCGAAGGTGCGTTGTCCTGCTTGGCCCCATTGGCATCCCAACTCACCTCGCCGAGCGCCACTTGGAGGTTTTTGTGTCTTTGGGGCTGAAAGCTTCAATGAATTTTCGGATTCTGACGTGGATGACGAGCTGTATATATATATAATCTACCCCGCCCACATAGAATATGGAATTGAAATTTCGGCTTCCCAGGGCATCCCCATGATTGAACTTGAAACAGGATACTTAGAATACAGTTGACGTCAAAAAACCTATACTTAGAATATCGTTGGGCCATATAAATTCTTTCACTTTCACTTTTCCAGACGAATTCGTCATTTTTCCATAGAAATTCTTCACTTTTCTTTATAAATCCTTCACGTTTCCATTCAAATTCTTCACTTTTCCATATTTTTGCCATACAATTTCTTTCACTTGTTCAGTCAAACTCATCATTTTTCCATATATATATATATTACATATATATATATATATATATATGTCTTAATAAATCCTTCACATTTCTATACAAATTCTTCACTTTTCCATATTTGTTCCATATAAATTCTTTCATGTTTCCAGACAAATTCATTATTTTTCCATATAAATTGTTCACTTTCCTATAACAATTCTGGACGTTTCCAGCGAAACTAGTTAACCATCTTTTTTTGGAACACCAACTAATTCCATTAGTTTTCATTGCAAACTAGTTTTTTTTTCATAGTTCTCCGACACCGTTCGTGGGGGGTACCCTTCGATGAGCCTGAAAAACTCATTTTTTTAAGACAATATGAAAAGAAATTGATCATTTCGGGGAACTTGTTTTTTTGTTGAAAAGTTCCAGTTTAGGAACTTCAGATATCCAGGATTGCTGCTCCCCAAAGGGAATTACGTATATAATAATCATACATGAAGGGGACCTATTCCTTGCAGAACTACATACATAGAATATAGGTACCCAGTGAAAAATATTCATCATTTTTTTAAGGAACACCTTCTAATTCCATTGGTTTTTATTGCAAAATATTTTTTTTTCATAGTTCTACGACGCCGGTCGTGGGGGGTACCCCTCGGTGAGCCTGAAAAATTCATTTTTTCAATACAATATTAAAAGAAATTGATCATTTCGGGGACCTGTTTTTTTGTTGAAACGTTCTATTTTAGGAACTTCAAACATCCAGGGTTGCTACTCCCCAAAGGGAATTACGTATATCCTATACACCCTGTTGTATGGAAGAGACCAAATTCCTTTCAGAACTACATACATAGAATATAGGTCCCCGGTGAAAATATTCATTCATTTTATTGGTTTTCATTGCAAACATACGTTTTTTGTCATAGTTCCCCGACACCGGTCGTGGGGGATACCCTTCGGTGAGCTTGAAAAACTCACTTTTTTAAATACAATATAAAAAGAAATTGATCATTTCGGGGGAGCTGTTTTTTTGTTGAAACGTTCTAGTTTGGGAACTTCAGATATCCAGGATTGCTGCTACCCAAAGGGAATTACGTATATAATAATTATACATGAAGGGGACCCTATTGCTTGCAAAACTACATACATAGAATATAGGTCCCCAGTGAAAAGTATTCATCAATTTTTGAAGGAATGCCACCTAAGTCCATTAGTTTTCATTGCAAACTATTTTTTTTTCATAGTTCTCCGACACCGTTCGTGGGGGGTACCCTTCGGTGAGCTTGAAAAACTTATTTTTTTGATACAATATGAAAAGAAATTGATCATTTCGGGGGACCTGTTTTTTTATTGAAACGTTCCAGTTTAGGAACTTCAGATATCCAGGATTGCTTCTACCCAAAGGGAATTACGTATATAATAATCATACATGAAGGGGACCCTATTCCTTGCAGAACTACATACATAGAATATAGGTTCCCAGTGAAAATATTCATCATTTTTTGAAGGAATGCCACCTAATTCCATTGGCTTTCATTGCAAAATAGTTTTTTCATAGTTCTCCGACACCGGTCGTGGGGGGTACCCTTCGGTGAGCTTGAAAAACTCATTTTTTTAAATACAATATAAAAAGAAATTGATCATTTCGGGGGAGCTGTTTTTTTGTTGAAACGTTCTAGTTTACGGACTTCAGACATCCAGGATTGCTTCTACCCAAAGGGAATTACGTATTTAATAATAATACATGAAGGGGACCCTATGCCTTGCAGAACTACACACATAGAAAATAGATCCCCAGTGAAAATATTCATCAATTTTTGAAGGAATGCCACCTAAGTCCATTGGTTTTCATTGCAAAATATTTTTTTTCATAGTTCTACGACACCGGTCGTGGGGGGTACCCTTCGATGAGCCTGAAAAACTCATTTTTTTAATACAATATGAAAAGAAATTGATCATTTCGGGGGACCTGTTTTTTTGTTGAAACGTTCAGTTTAGGAACTTCAGACATCCAGGATTGCTGCTCCCCAAAGGGAATTACGTATTTAATAATTATACATGAAGGGGACCCTATTCCATGCAGGACTACATCCATAGAATATAGGTCCCCAGTGAAAATAGTTATCAATTTTTGAAGGAATGCCACCTAATTCCATTGGTTTCATTGCAAAATAGTTTTTTCATAGTTCTCCGACACCGGTCGTGGGGGGTACCCTTCGGTGAGCTTGAAAAACTCATTTTTTTAATACAATATAAAAAGAAATTGATCATTTCGGGGGAGCTGTTTTTTTGTTGAAACGTTCCAGTTTGGGAACTTGAGATATCCAGGATTGCTGCTACCCAAAGGGAATTACGTATATAATAATTATACATGAAGGGGACCCTATGCCTTGCAGAACTACATACATAGAATATAGGTCCCCAGTGAAAATATTCATCAATTTTTGAAGGAATGCCACCTAAGTCCATTAGTTTTCAATGCAAACTATTTTTTTTTCATAGTTCTCCGACACCGTTCGTGGGAGGTACCCTTCGGTGAGCTTGAAAAACTCATTTTTTTTAATACAATATGAAAAGAAATTGATCATTTCGGGGGACCTGTTTTTTTGTTGAAACGTTCCAGTTTAGGAACTTCAGACATCCAGGATTGCTGCTCCCCAAAGGGAATTATGTATATGATAATTATATGACCTTTTACATGGAAACGATCAAATTCCTTGCAGAACTACATACATAGAAAATAGGTCCCCAGTGAAAATATTCATCAATTTTTGAAGGAATGCCACCTAAGTCCATTAGTTTTCATTGCAAAAAAAAAATCTTTCATAGTTCCTCGACACCGGTCAAGGTGGGTACCTTTAGGTGAGCTTGAACAATTTCAAAAAGGATTTTGATGGTGTTTTGGTGGATTTTAGTGGGGTGAAAAAATTGAAACATGACCATTTATGTCCATTTATAATGCAGTATGGGTGATATTTTGATAATTCAAAACAAAATAGTGGGGTGAAAACTTGAAAAATGTTCTTGTATGCTGCAGTACGGATGATATTTTGATAATTCAAAGGATTTTGGTGGGGTGAAAATTTGAAACATGTCCATATATGTCTATTTATGCTGCAGTATGGGTGATATGTTGATAACTCAAAGGATTTTAGTGGGATGACAATTTGAAAAATGTCCATTTATGTCCATTTATGTCCATTTATGCTGTAATATGGGTGATATTTTGATAATTCAAACGAAAATTAGTGGGGTGAAAAATTGAAAAATGTCCATATATGTCCATTTGTGTTGCAGTATGGGTGATATGTTGATAATTCAAATGGGGAGAAAACAAATAAGCACGAAATGGGGGCATATTCTAAGTGGAGTTGCGTTCGAGTTCAACTGCATAATCGGAAAAACGCATATTCTATGTGGGCGGGGTACATTATATATATATATCTCTCTATATATGTATAATATATATATATGTGTATATATAATATAATATGTATGTATGGGCATGGCTATTCACCAAGATCAGGGAATCACAGATGGCGGAATGGCGCCAAGGTGAGTGAAG